GAGCTTTGATAGACTCATAAAAACTTACAATCTACAATTGTACTATAGTACAGATGCATATTACTATAGTACTTGTATATGTATGCATGGGCATATGCGAGCATGGAAGAATGCATTACTTAATGAAATTCGGAAATTTGGTAATCATAATAGTAATAATAATGGCGATGCTAATGCTAATGGTATTGGTAATGGTCATGGTAATGGTAATGACAAGATTAATGGTAACGGTAACGGTCTTAAAGACAATCGTAATCTCAATGGTAATGGTAATTATAATGGTAATGGTTATGGTAATGGTAATGGTTAATGGCAGTGGTATTGGTAATGGTCATGGTAATGGTAATGACAATATTAATGGTAATGGTAATCTTAAAGACAATGGTAATCTCAATGGTAATGGTAATTATAATGATAATGATTATATTAAAGGTATTGGTATTGATCATGGTCATGGTAGAGGTAATGACAATGGTAAAGTTATCGGTAATGGTAATGGTCAAGGTAATGGTCATGGTCATGGTAATGTTAGGGTCATTGGTAATAGTAATGGCAATGGTAACGGTAAGAGCTATAGTAGTGATAACGAAATTTTCGATTATCTCCACTCTTTTATATGCATATGTACGTATTTAGTATTGGCCTATTGAATTAGCATTTAGGGCTTTAAAAAACATATGTATAAATTTGTAAAAAAAATACTTCTCCATCTTCTTTTAAAAACATTTTAAAATTGAATTTTTTTTTCGTAGGTCTGTTAAATTTGAGCCTTCCTATATATTCTCAGATTATTGCGAAAATATAAATAGGGAAGAGACATTTTATCACACTTTAGCTATTTCCCTTTCGTACATTTAATATTTATTTTTTTTATGAAAGTGTAGCTCGTTATCTAACAAAAAGCATATAAGTCAAAACTTAAAAATTTTTAAACATTTCTGAGAAACATTCTGAGATTGCCATTTTTATTCTATTCAATTTTAGTATCCAAAGTGCAAATTTTAGGTAGCTAGAATTTACCGCTGATTTTTGGCAATTTTTTTTAGGAAGATGTTGTTCATTTTTACATACAAAAAAGAAAGTTCGAATATACATACTTTTTATGAAAGAAAATTCGTGTACAAAAAATTGCCCAACATCAACAGTAAATCTTAGGTCCCTCAAACTTACACTTTATTACACTAAAATTTTATAGGCTGCAAAACTTCGTACTCAAAAAAATTCAAAAAATCTTCTTTATCAGAAGTTTCATATTTCGATGAAGATTTGTTAAAATTCTTAGAATTTTTATAAATGTTCTACAAAGTTTGAATTTTTGATTTACATGATTTTTTGTAGGTAGTAAGCTATATTTTTTGTTTTTTAATATAAAAAAATTTTAACAAACAAAAATAGCCAACACTTTCTAAATTCGACTGAATTGAATTTAAAGAAATGTACATATGTATATACGTTGGCGAATATACATACATACATAAGTATGTAAATTTTTTAATTTCCTCTAAGGAAATTCTCTTAGTTCATCATACGCTCAGTCAAACCTGTATAAAAAGCAAAGCAGCAGACTTATCGATTGTCAGCTCTTGGACTATTTCTCTTGTGTATAAAATTTTTTAAACCGTACTGTAGTTACGACTAGCGTAGGCCAGCAATCGCAGTGGCATTTTTTTGCCTTAAATATAAATTCCTTTAAAATTCGACCAATGAAAAATTAAAGAAACAGCGAAATAATTTTAAAATTCCAGTTTTGTAGGAATTTTTTACAGTTGAAAATGCAGCAGCTGCTGTTTAAATGAGTGCCTGGATATTATTAGCCAACAAGCACGGCCGGAAAAATTTTGTTGAAAAAAAAAAACAGATGCACCAGCTCGATTGAAATTAAATTTCCACATTTTTCTGTGTAGCCTAAAGCACTCCAGTTAATTGAAATATATTTTTTGTGCTACAGTTAAACAATTTGTTTGGTATTTTTATTTAATTATTTAACCGAAGCACATTATTGTTAAAAATGAAATGCGGTGAAATTTGCAAAAGACGACTGAGGATAATTGCAAGTGGAAATGGAGTGAAAAAGTGGTGCAATAAAAATGAGGACTCCAAAAGGAATGAAGCTGCATTTTTATAAAATTGTATTGACTACCAAAGTAAGACAAAAAAGTGTGTGCCGACCATCTTCATAAAACATGCCTTTATCGAATAGCTGGATATTCTATATAAATACATTTCTACGCTTCCCACAAAAAGTAAAAAGCGCGCGAATTTTTCCAAAGCAGCTTCAAGACCGTGTGTACAAATTTTGTATGGTAT